CTTGAAGTGTAAACTTGTTTAATAAACCATATCTTTCATTTTCGATTTTTAATTCACGTAGTCCGGGAACTTTCCGGACAAACTGTGTATTAGTATATTAATATCTTTTTTTGGCTCGATGTGACCTTTTTTATTTACTAATTAAGTCTGCATTAATCCTACTGGTCCGCCTCGAGTCCTGTCTCTACCAACCCCACTTCAAGCAAACGGAGCAGCGCTCTTAGGGAAAAGTCATTCCGTAAATTCTTCATTACGCACGTTCCGCACTATCTAACCTCTCCCTTAGTCTTCCCACACACCAAAATATATCATAAAGATATCTGAAAGATATCTAAATATCAGAATATCTGATTTCGTAAATACTAGTCAGATATCACTGAAATATCTGAAAGATGTCTTCCAGATTCTAAAAAGGCATGATTATTTCATCTGTCATATGATATCTGATTTTGCGTTAAATATTAGATATTTATATTTTATTATAAAATCGGATTGTATATATAATATTGCAGATGAGACATGTGATATAAAAATATATGTTTTGAAAATAAGTAATTTAATAATATTTATTGTAAAATTAATCATTTTACAAAAATAACATACGTATATTCTGGAGATTATAAAACAACGCATATACATAAACAAAAGTAAAATCTCATACATATTATATGCAGAAAGCGCAAGAGTAATCTTATAATTTATATCACATTCATATATAAATGAAGCTTAAGAGATCAATTTTTTTATTTAATAAATAAACCATGTCATAATATTAAGAACAAACCTTAAAATTTAACCGCTTAATCGTTTTTTGTCATAGTTATTAAGTATTAACGTATAATTATTTAAGTATTAACGTATAATTATTATAAGTATTAACATACCAGCGTTTTCGAAAGATTTCTTTTAAACATAACTTTATATTTTTCTTATTCAATAACACAAAGCAAAATTTTTAACTGTGAAACGCTGTCGCTTTTTTTCACTGATGAAAATTAAATTGAAATATAAAATTGTATACATCTACAAGAAAGAAAACTTTTTCGGTTTCAAGTACATGTTTCTGAACATTTTGATTTTTTCCAATTTGATGTTTTGATTCCCATCTGTCAAGAAATTAATAAAGTAAGAATAAATAATAAGAAAAAAAAGTTGATAGAGTAAGTTAATATTTACGTTTTAGCTCGACCAATTGATTGGCGGAGAAATTCCTTAATGCTTCTAATAATATCTTCCTCAGTTTCATCAGCTGCAAACGCTCTTCCTTCATGTTTAGTATGCCTGGTTGCACCTAATAATACAATTATTAAAAAATAAACTATGAGAGGAACTTGTCTTGCAAATAAATTTTCTTTAAATAAAGTTTAAAATAAGTAATATATCTTTGTTGAAATAAAAAGTTGAAAATAAGGATTAAAGAAATGGATCATTTTCGAAATATAAGCTTTGAGAAAAACAAGATTAGTTTAGCAAAACAATATTCTATTGATATCAATTAAAGGCTTGATGGAAGTCCAGCAAAAAACCAAAAAAATACTTTAAATGTAAATCTATTTGTATTATAAAACAGAATAATCTACTTTTCAGCATTTTAAGAAAAATACTGAAAACAGATAGCTGAAATACAAGAATGTCGATAAAATTAAAACAAGTATAGAGAAAGTTGCCGTANAAATAGTCTGTTAGTTGAATAGTCTGTTTTTCATATAAATAGATCTGCATTAGAAAATATTTTCTCGGTCTTTTGTTAGATTTCAATCAAACTTTCAATTGATATTAATAATACGTAATTATATCAACTAATATTAATAATACATAATACATAATACATAATTTTTATTAATATCACCCGTAAACGCAACAATATTACATTACTTTTTGAAAAAACTTACAAATCACAGCATTCACTAATCCTTTAAGGAGACTGAATTGCATCTTGCCCTTTCCTCTATGCCAGCTGTATTTTTTTGCAAGAGTGCAATGGATTATTCTTTTTAAAATTGCTATTGAAATTTTTTTATAATNTTTTCCACCTATTTTGGACATGAGCAAGATCTAGAAGACAAGTATTAAAAGAATATTAATCAAAAGAAAAATCCAGAGAAAGAACATATTAAGTCTTTGACTATACATTATATTATAAATTGGGGTTAATAATATTTGTTCTAAAGTCTGTTGGTTAATCACAGCCATTTCATTTTTCAGAAAAATAGCTGTAATTGGCCAGTTTTAGAATTACAGATTTTTAAATCTTGATTAAGAATGAATAAGCAAAATAGTTGAGGCTTTTTAATTAACTTACCACTTTATTTCTGTAAACTTTGTCAGTTTTCAAATTGTTATCAAATTGCATTAAAGATTCCACATTATTGGTATACGGAAAATTATCAAAATATAACTGATCGTGCTCTTTCGGTGAAGAATATTGAAGTTTTTTTCGATGTGATGCATTTTCAAGAAGTTTCGATATAACAAATTTCTTAAAATCTAAAATTATAAAGTTGCATGAGAAGTTATTATATTAAGAGAAACTAATAAAACTCTAACTTTTTTTATATTGTTAATAACATTTATCCACATTAAAATAAGTTCATGATCCATATTTGTAAACAACTTTAAATCTAAATTTACACAAAAAAAATCGAGTTTTGCTTTAAATAATTCTGTCTTTATTATCTTAACCTTAGTTACGCCCTTAATTACAATACTTTAAAATTAACATTTAAGAGGGTCCTGAACCGTCCTGTTATTACCGATTGATCGAGTAATTCGTATTACCAAGTGTTTTTCATAATTATTGCTCTGATAGGAAAACGGCTCTACAGATTAAAAGATACTAATAAAATTAATCTCGGACACTTTTCAATATATCAAAAATGTAACAAAAAGTTTTGATGTTACAATTACCTCTACTTTTAATGTATTGATATTTGTAGTTCAAGGGTTATGCATAAAACCTAAATAGTGTCCAAAATTAACATAACATTCAAGAATGTAATAAGACTATTAGACTCTGATTTGGATGCCTATAATAGACAAACACTTGATACTACGTTTTGTGTTCACGTTTGCTAGAATTTCAGTGCTAAGAATATAGAAATGATTAGTACATAGTTTACGGATATTGGAACAGATGGCGCTGCAACATGTCGATAAAAAAAATTGCTACTATTTCTGGTTTACTAAGTAAATGTGTACACAAACCGTATTATAGATTGTTTGTGTCATGTAGGCTTTTAAATCAAAGTCGATCAATAGTCTCATTACATTCTTGAATGCTATGTCTATTCCAAAAACTGTTTGGTTTTTATGCCTAACTCGTAACCTGTAAATGTCAATACTATAAAAGTGAAAGTGATTGTAACTTTAAAAAATTCTAACATGACATGTCAAAATACCACTGAACGTGTAAATGAAAAATGAAATGTGCACGTAGTTTAGATGTTGTTTTTATATATTGTGTTGTATTCAGTTGTGTTATATAGTGTAATTATTTTGTGTTATGTGATTCTTTAAACGATTAGAGAGAATATTATCTGTACTAACGTGAGTATTGAAACACTGCCAACACATGCTGGCTATTTTCTAAAAAATATTAAACTAATGTCAAATGCATTTCTTTGACAGTAAAGTTACTTTGTCTTTTTTCCCAGAGGCGTTGTAAACGTGTGCTGGTGTAAAACTTGGTAGGAACTGCCAATGCATGCTGGCTTTTTTCTAAATAAATTTAATATAAAATAATGTCACATGCATCTTTTTGACAGTAAAGTTACTTTGTCTTTTTTCCCAGAGGCGTTGAAAACTTGTGCTGGAACATTAATTATTGTGAAACAGTTTTGGTTGACCTGTGCTGGCTATATTTAAAAATTTATAATGCCAGAGGCGTCTCGTGTGACATAAAGTTGATTTATTTTTTTTCCAGAGGCGTTTTTGTAAACGTGTGCTGGTGTACAACTTATTAGAAACTGCCAATGCATGCAAGCTTTTTTCTAAATAAGTTTAATATAAAGTAATGTCACATGCATCTTTTTGACAGTAAAGTTACTTTGTCTTTCTTCCAAGAGGCGTTGAAAACGTGTGCTNGAATATTAATTATTTTGAAACAGTTTTGGTTGACGTGTGCTGGATTATATTTAAAAATTTATGATGCCAGAGGCGTCTCACGTGACATAAAGTTGATTTATTTTTTTTCCAGAGGCGTTTTTGTAAACGTGTGCTGGTGTAAAACTTATTAGGAACTGCCAATGCATGCTGGTTTTTTTCTAAATAAGTTTAATATAAATTAATGTCACATGCATCTTTTTGACAGTAAAATTGCTTTGTTTTTCTTCCTAGAAGGGTTGTTGAAAAAGTGTGCTGATGTAAAACCTATTCTGAAGTATTTTATTAGTTGATGTGTGCTGGGTATATTTTAAAGTTTTAATGCCAGAGACGTCTCTTGTGACGTAAAATTGCTTTGTCTTGTCTCTTAGAAGTGTTTTTGAAAACATGCGTACTAATAAATATAAAAATTTTCAAAACAACATATGCTGGCTGTGTATTAAATTGTGCCAGAGACGTCTTTTGTGATATAAAATTTTTTTCTCTTTTCTTTCACAGACATTTATATAAACGTATGCAAGTATACTTATAAATAGGAAGTATTTATAATTATTGTGTGCTGGCTATATTTTAAAGTGTAAAAACGCCAATGGCGTTTNNTGTAACATAAAGTTGCTTTGTCTTTTTGTTTGCTTAGAAGCGTTTTTCTAAACGTGTGGAAAATGGTTTTTAAAGTCATTTACAAGTGACGTGTTCTAGCTAAGTTCTAAATTTATTGTGCCAGAAGCGTCTTGTGTAGCATAAAAATTGCTTTACTTTTGTTCCAAAGACGTTGTTGTTACCGTGTGGTCGTGCATTAAATAGTATGAACATTTACAATCAATTTGCTGGCTATGTTCAAAATTTCTTGCGTCAGAGACGTCTTTTTGTAACAGAAATTTGCTTTTTTTTCCCAGATGCGTTTTTATAAACGTGTGCTGGTTATGTTCTAAATTTATTGTGTCAGAAGTGTATCTTGTAATATAAAGTTGCTTTATGTTATGTTCCTTTATCTTTTTTTGTCTCAGAAGTGTTTTCGTTAACGTGTGATAGTGTATGTTAAAGAATAAATTAGCGTTTGGTGACTACTTTCTAAATTTATACTGTCAAAGACATCTTTTATAACATAGAGGTGCCGAAACTAGTAAATTTTAGAACTATACATAATCATGACAAATCTGCTTAAGATCTGTCGTTGATAAAAATCATTATTTTAACAGACTTGTTGAAAAAACATAAATTAGCCTGATAGACGGATCTAATACATTGCTCTGCTTAAATTTATAGTCAGTCTGCAAACTACTTGCAGACTAATTAAAAATTTGTTTACTGAGTACCATAAGGCGTGCACTCACACTTATGCTGTCTTTTAGACTTATGTGTGTTTGTGTATATATATGAGAGAGAGAGAGAGAGAGAGAGAGAGACAGAGAAAGAGAAAAAGAGAAAAAGAGAGAGAGGAGAAAGATACTTGTATCTCTTCTTGTCTGTCGTTCATTTTGTCTGTCCTTTAATTAAAGTGAAACGGACTAATCGCTATGTCATCCGTGTTTATTCGTTTTTTTTTTGTACATTTTGACGGCCGAATACTGAACCGCGTCTCGAGAGCAATTCAGTATGTATATGTAAAGCTTTCTGAGCAATATAAAATGTTTAATGACATTCATAATCTTTTTTGTAGTAATATATCCAAATAAACCTAAAAATTAATAACATGTATGTACACACATGTGCGTTTAAGAAATGTATGTGTTCTGTATAGTACTGCAGCGATCAGTGTGCGTTATTCTTCATTAAAAAATAATTATACACAAGAAAATAGAATTTTTCAAAACTTTCTATTTTTTATTTAAGGAATATACTTGCTTTGTAGACTTGTTTCATGCACATCATATTTTGTATTATGTATTAGTCAAAGAAAGTTACTTTTCATAAGTAAAAAATAGAAAGTGCAAAAAAATCTATTTTATTATGTGTATTTATGTTTTTATAAACAATAACGCATTGCGATTGCTGCAGTACTGTACAGAACACTGTACATTTATTAAACGTATACATATATGTATATATGTGTACATAGATGTTATAATAATTGTTTATTTAATTTGCATATATACTCCAAAAACATTTTGAAACTGAATGTCATCAAACATTTTACATTGATCAGAGGGCTTTACATATAGCTTTACATACTGAATTGTTAGAAACGCGATAAGCGTTACATGTAAGATCGAGCCGGCCTAAAAGCACCGAGGTGGTAAAAGTACGCACANAAGCGAGAACCGCCGTCCGTATGCGTAATGTAAAGCTCGGTCATTTAGCTCGTGGAANAGTGCAGACATACTATGTTCCGTCTCTTTTCCACAAAGCCGACTATAAGACGAGACACAAGGTAACGTTCACGTTGCGCGCTTGTTG